CCCCCACCCTACCCCCACCCCACCCCACCCTCACCCCTACCCCCACCCCACCCTACCCCCATCCCACCCTACCCTCACCCCCACCCTACCCCCATCCTCACCCCCACCCTGGGCTCCTCACTGCTCTGTATTTCCATCCCTCCTCTGTGGCCAAAACAAATTACCAGAAACCGGTGGCAGAGGATGACAGGAATTGATTCTCCCACAGCCTGGGCAGGCAGTGCTCCCTGCGACAGCTCTGCGGAGGATCCTTCCGGCCAATTCCAGCTGCTGGTGGCTGCGGCAGTCCTATCTCTGCCCGCGCCTTCTCTGTGTGTCTGTGGCACATTGTCACATCTCCCTCAGCCTCTTTATAAAGATACCTGTCATGGTTTAGGGCCCACCCTAACCCAGGTTGAACTTATGTTGAACTCCCTGACTCAATTATGTCTGCACAGACCCTTTTCCCAAATAAGGTCCCATTCACAGGTAGTGGGATTAGCATGCAGCTTCTGTGGGGCCACAGCTCAACCCACTATGCTGTCCCTTCTGGGAAGTGGCTGTGGGACCTGAACCTGCCCTAAGTTGGGGAATATCAGAGGGTGACAGGGAAGAGGAAGGTGGGTCATTGGGTTTATTTGTAAACAAGGGAGGAAGGCGAGCCCGGATCTGCCGCCTGCCTTTGCGGAATGCACAGCTGCTGTTAGTTCCTAGGTCAGCTATTCAGACACCCAGTAATCAGTAATAATCACGACATCGAATAAAGGCACCTCCGGAGCACTGATCATGTTATGGATTTCTTTCTATCTTTCAAAATGAAAATTGCCTTATTGGTTCCATTATAAAATCAGACCATGATACATGTTCATTGTTAAAATTTTCAGGCGATTCAAAAGGTAAAAAGTGTAAACACCCCGCCAGATTCCACCCTGTGATGCCCGTGCTTGACACTTCGGCCCGTTTCTTTTCTGGACGTGGAGGAATGGGATTCCTCCCGCCTGCTAACTTTCACACCCACTGCCACACCCGGTGCATGGGCCGACCTACGGCTGGCAGCTGTGCGGGCTCAGTTGTGTGACTGACCTTTTTCTTTTTTCAGACGGAGTCTCACTCTGTCACCTAGGCTGGAGTGCAGTGGCCTGATCTCGGCTCACTGCAACCTCTGCCTCCCGGTTTCAAGTGATTCTCCTGCCTCAGCTTCCCAAGCAGCTGAGATTATAGGCATGCGCCACCACGCCCAGCTAATTTTTGTATTTTTAGTAGAGACGGGGTTTTACCATGTTGGCCAGGCTGGTCTCGATCTCCTGACCTCAAGTGATCCACCCACCTTGGCCTCCCAAAGTGCTGGGATTACAGACGTGAGCCACCGTGCCCAGCCTGCCCTCTCTTGCTTTTGCCTTGTTTCATATTTTGGTTCTCAGGCTGTCTCCCGTTGTCGGTATGGTAAGTGTTCTCTCACAGAGAGTAGCCTCCGTGCCCGGTCACCTGAGGGGCAGTGTGCCCCCTGGGAAGAGTGGCGTCACTGCCATCCCCGGCCTTGGGTGTTACCACCTGCTCCTGCAGTGGCATCCCAGGCCCCAGCAGCAGGCGTTTTTCCCCTTCAGCTCCCTGCAGAGCCTCTCTCTGCTCCTCGCTGTCTCAGCATGAGGCTAGCGCCTTCATGGAAGGCCAGCTTTGGGAAGTAACCGTGGTATCTCCCTGCCACAGGCCATGTTCGAGCTGGTGACTTCCGAGGCATCCTACTATAAGAGCCTGAACCTGCTTGTGTCCCACTTCATGGAGAACGAGCGGATGAGGAAGATCCTGCACCCGTCCGAGGCGCACATCCTCTTCTCCAACGTCCTGGATGTGCTGGCTGTCAGTGAGCGGTAAGGACGGGGGACAGCCACCTCCCTCAGGGCCCTTCTGCATGCCCGAGGCACAAGTGCTTGACACTGGCCTCTCTAATTCCAGATGTTTGGAATTTTCCATAATAAAATATAAATAAATGGAGACGAAAATCCAAATGTCACTGCCCCTCCTGGCAGGGTGGCCGGTCACGGCCTCCTGCGTCCCTTCCCAGAAGCACCTGTGCCCCCCGAGAAGCTCTGCACTGAGCATCCTGCCGGCCCCAGGTTAGACTGATGATGAGTCCAGCCCTCTCATGCATCAAACCTGTGGTTGGACAGGTTGAAACCAGGCAGGTCCACGGGAGTCTTGTGTTAGGGACTGAGGGTGTCCATGTAAGCTGCTCTTTGTCCTAGCAGAAAGCCCAAGCCTGGCGCATGCAGGGCCCCAGGCCTTGTGCAGGGTGCAGTCCCGGGTTCCCACGTCCTCGCCTCCTGAGTGCGTTTGCCATGGCTGGTGGAAGCGGCCACGGGAATGGGGACTGGGCGAAGCCCGGGCTGAGCTGCAGCGGAGGAAGAGGAGACAGAAGTCTGTTCATTGAGTCCTGTGAAAGGAAATGAACCTGGCCGTGTGACCAGGGTGAAAGAGCCCTTGCCCTCCCCAGGGCAGGCCCTGGACTTTTGCAGTCAGAAGCCACATGGGGCTCAGCTCGGACAGTGCCTGGTGTTCAGATGGGAACCCAGGCAGACCCTATCGCAGCCCGGCTCCAAGCAGTGGGGATCTGATCAACGTCACATGTGGCACCCTGGAAGCGGCTCACTCTCTGTGCGCCTTCAAGTGGGTCCCTCCGTCGCACTCACACCCACCCTTCCATTTGCAACCCCCCCACCTCCTCGTGGCAGCCCCGTCTGGTGGATTTGGGAGGTGATGGCTGACTGGGGCCAGAATGGCCTGTGAGACCCCTGGGCTTCTGCCTTGGCACTTTTTTTTTTTTTTTGAGACGGAGTTTCGGTCTTGTTGCCCAGGCTGGAGTGCCATGGTGCGATCTTGGTCACGGCAACCTCCACCTCCCGGGTTCAAGCTATTCTCCTGTCTCAGCCTCCTGAGCAGTTGGGACTACAGACACCTGCCACCACCCCCAGCTAATTTTTGTATTTTTAGTAGAGACAGGGTTTCACCATGTTGGCCAGGCTGGTCTCGAACTCCTGAGCTCAAGTGGTCCACCCGCCTCAGCCTCCCAAAGTGTTAGGATTACAGGCATGAGCCACTACGCCCGGCCCTGCTGCAGCACCTCTGAACTTATGTATGTATTTGTATTTTACTATGGAAAATTCCAAACATGCACAGGTAGACGCCCATGTGCCCTGGTCACCAGCGTCAGCAAAGGTCAGCCCAGGGTCCAGTCCCTGCCCTCCGGGGGATCTTTCTGAAGCAGATCCCCAGGGTCATCTATTTTATCCTCAAACACATCAGCACATAGCTGAAAGATAAGGTCTCAGTGCTACCAGTGCCTCAGCCCCGTGAAAACACAGTCATTCTTCAAGATGACCAAATACACCGCCCGTGCTCGGTGCCCCGCCGACGGATCTTGTCAGCCCGTATACTGGCCGTGCACACCGGTGTATCTAAGCCAGGCCTGCACGCTGCCCTTGGCGAGACAACTGCTGACCCTACCCCAGCACCCTCCTGCCCGGGCACCCTCCACCCAAGCCGTTGCCTCCCACAGGTTTCTCCTGGAGCTGGAGCACCGGATGGAGGAGAACATCGTCATCTCCGACGTGTGCGACATCGTGTACCGTTACGCAGCTGACCACTTCTCCGTCTACATCACCTACGTCAGCAACCAGACCTACCAGGAGCGGACCTACAAGCAGCTGCTGTGAGTGTGCCCGGCCAGGGAATCGGCACCCAGGGCAGCCACACCAGTGCTGGCCCAAGCTCCTTACACAGTGCGCCTCATGGTCCTTCACCTCTGCATTCCCAAGGTCCACGTGGGCCACAGGAGTCAGCCAGGGTGGTGACAGTATCCCAATCCGGCATGTTCCAGGGGGTTCTGGTGTCACTAGAGAAATATGAGCCCAGCCAGACCCCAAGAGAATCAGCACAGCACCCACTGGACCTGGATCCAGTGGCCGAGCAGAGCTCCATGCAGTTAGGAAAGGAAGCGTGAGGTCAAGTGGCCAATTCAAAGCCCAGGACATCAGAGACTGGGTTTGCACTAGTGACAAGGGCAGAGACGGGTGGGAAGGAGTCTTGGTGGGGCCCATCTAGCAGCGCCTGGGCATTTATTGCTGATCTGCCCATTCTGTAAACCTTCTCTGAGGTTTAGTTGACAAGGTAATTTTCCAGCCAGTGTGCCTCTTCGGAACCCTCTGCACTGAGGTTCCCTGCTTCAGCGACTGGGGTCAGCCAGGGAGGTCGTGTTGGCTCCCCGCAGAAGCGCCGAGGGACTTTTCCAGTCATGGCGTCTGCACATTGCACTCCACTGGCCTTTCCACTAAGCCATGGGGCTCATGGTGCAGGTTTCAAGCTTGGGTCTTTGGGCATTTGGACGTTTTAACAGTAGGCGTAGGGAAATTGGAATTGGAGGGAATCAGGATGCTAGTTTTGAGGATAAACATTGAGAAGGCCAGCATGCAGCAGGACAGGAACCATTCACAGCGCCCGAGAGCCCACCCTGCCACGTGAGTGCAGACACGGAGTGACAGGCAGGGCGCGGGTCCCTGCCGACTTGCATGGGGCCAGGCTCACCTCCAGCTCTCCCGCCCTTGTCAGCGTCAGCACTGTGGCCTGGCCCACTGCTAAGCCTACCTGTCAGAAATGGCACAGGCTGTCCTGGAGGTGTCCCCAGCCTGCTGCCCGTTCCTGTCACTAAGCGGGTTTGCCGGTTTACCTTGCCACGGCTTCCCACTGGGTAAAATCATCTCATTGTGTGTCTCCCCCACACAACATGCTGTGCTGAGTCTTCAAGGCCAGGCACGTGGAGCCACTACTGTGATTTCACTTGTATGTGAACAGTCTGTTTTCCTTTTGCCCAAAAGAAATCAATGTGTTTCCCGTGCCCGTGGGTCGTCTGGATCCCAGGAGTTTGTGGATGGGGAGGAGGAGTCCCCAGTTCATGCCTCCTGCAGCCCAGAGACCTACTCCACATGTGTGTGTCCCCAGCCAGGAGAAGGCGGCTTTTCGGGAGCTGATTGCGCAGCTAGAGCTCGACCCCAAGTGCAAGGGGCTGCCCTTCTCCTCCTTCCTCATCCTGCCTTTCCAGAGGATCACGCGCCTCAAGCTGCTGGTCCAGGTACAGCCTCCTCCCCCTGACCCACAGGTGGGGCTCCCAGCCTTTCCCGTGCTCATTCCAGGACCCTGTCAGCTTTCTAGGTCTATCGGTTCAATAGATACTAACTAAGCTCCTCCCATGTGCACCAAGCACGTTTCTGGTCAGTGAGGATACAGCCCCTGCTTCCAGGGAGCCCCACGCAGAGGGGAGAGAGCGACCCACACACAGCCAGGAAGCCTGTGGGGACAGTGAAATGGGCCGGCACCACAGGGGTGGCTGGCTGGCCGGCCACTGCCAGTTGCAGGGGTTGAGGTAGGTCAGGAAAGATGAGTGACATGTAAGCTGAGACCTGGCTGACAGGAGGAGCTGGTGGGGGCGGGTGGAGGAAAGAGCGTTCTCAGCCGAGGGAACCACTGGTGCAAGGCCCTGGGACTGCAAGTTTCACCGGCAGAAAGACCAGCAGTGAGCTCAGGAATGTGATGGGGACAGGAGTGGGTGTGGGGATGGAGACAGAGGCAGGACCGGGGCCTGAGGTGCAGGGAAGACATTGGGCCCTGTCCTCAATGTGGCGGGAGTCCCCTGATTGGACCCACTTTTAGGAGCTGGCCCTGGCTGCTCCGGAGGGTGATGGAAATGGGGAAGGAATTCCACGGCCACTGGGGCTGGGTCAGGAAGTGGGGGTCCGGCGGGGATGCCGGGGAATTGAAATCAGCGACTTGCTGAGAAAGAAGAAGCGAGAGTGACTCCTCGGCTTTTACCTTGAGCAATTTGGGGGTGCGCGGCTGTGGCTGAACCGGGGAGGACTTGGGGCGGGGAGGGCTCAGGGTTCAGGGCAGGATGAGCTGAGTTTGAGGAGACTTTGGACAGTTCAGTATCAGGGGTCAGAGTTAAAGGGAGAGGTCGGGCAGGCGCCGTTGGCATCAAGGTGGCATTTAATCAAAGAGGCCACCAAGGAAGGAGAGAAAGGGCCTGAGACCAAACTCAGGGACACAGCCAGGACTTGGAAGGAACGACCGTGAGGGAGGAGGAAACCCACAGAGCTGGAGCCTTGGGAGCCTGGGGAGGATGGGGCTTCCGGAAGAGGGAGGCAGGACGGAGACCCCCTCTGCCTAACAGGTACTGGGGCCCTGTCTACTGATGCCCTGGGCAGAGGGAGCCTTTGGCAGCTGGGTCGATGCAGTGGACGGTGTGGAGTATAGCTGTGGCCCTGAGGGGCGTTAGCTGAGGGGGACCTGGGAGCCACAGGTAGCAGAGGTCAGAGGTCAGACAGGTGAGAGGCCAAAGACCTAGGGGCAGCTGCTCCGGAAGCGGCAGAATTGCAGAGGGGAGTCCCGACCTGGGAGGAAAGGGCCTGGGAGCATGAGGCCAAGGAAGCAGGTGCGGGAAGAAGCCCCAGCCCAGGGCAAACGGGAGATACCAACATGAGGGCACAGCCGGGACGCGACCCCACACCAGAAGACACCGTGATGAACGCAGTTCCATGGGAAATACCCTTCCAACTTGGAAAAAGTGGAGCAAAAGACAGTAACGTTTCCTAATTATGCAGAGAAAAAAAATTTTAGGACATTTTATAGGAAAAGTACATATATGGAGATATTAAAATCTTAGCTTCTATAAGATGAAAACCAACAATAAGATTAAAACCAATTGGAAGCTGGGCGCAGTGGCTCACACCTGAAACCCCAGCACTTCGGGAGGCTGAGGTGGGCGGATCACCTGAGGTCGGGAGTTCGAGACCAGCCTGACCAATATGGTGAAACCCCATCTTAATAAATAAATAAATAAATAAATAAAACTGATAGAAATGGGGTGATTAGGAAATAGTGGAATGGGGATGGGATAGGGTGGGCGCTCAGGGAAGGGCCCAGAGAAAAGGGTGGTGGGTTGGGGGCCATTCCAGAGAGAACGGCTAGTCCCCATATAGGTAGCATGCTGGGGACACGCTGAGGAGGCTGGCATGGGGGAGCACGCACAGGCTAAGGGACCCATACTGCCCTGCATCCAAGGCCACAGTGCCACTTGGTCAGATGCAGCTTTTATTCCTGGGAGAAAAGATGGCACCTGGACTGTGCTGTTGAGCAGGGATTTGGAAGTAGGAGGACAGTTAGTGACAAGTGTGGTGACCACATACAGGGAGGAAGGAGCAGGGAGATGGCTGTGAGTCTCAAAGGTCTCTGGCTTGGCTGCTAGGCAGAGGCAGGCAGGTGACCACAAGATAGGCCTGGGCTGCTGTCAGGGGTGGCACCTGGTGCCACCATGGCACGTGGCAGCTGGGAGGACAGGTTGTTGGTGCTCAGATGCACCCAGCCTACTTATAGGACAAAAGCCAGTCAGAAAACATGAGCACAGCAAGGATTGCTAGGAGGAAACCAGGTAGAGTTTATAAAGCAATGCCAAGGTAGTAACTTACAGGTGAAAGCAGTATGGGCATGAATTTTTGTTAATTGAAGAAAATTGAACAATTGGAGGAAAGACTCTTTCTTACACTCTCACGGATAAAACCAAAGTTAGCAAAGCCCTGGGGCCAAAAGACGGTCCCAGGGAGGAGAGGGAAGCCCGTGGTCCCCCTACCCCTGTCCCATAAGCATTTAGCTCCCCTTGGGGACAGAGCTGACCCTGACTGAGCACAACAGTCCTCACTGCTGGATGCCTCACCTGCCGGCTCTCTTGCCCTCCATTTATCAGCTGGAGGCTGTGTGTGTGTGCACGTATGTATGCATGCATGTGTGTAAGTGTGTGGGCATGCAGGTGTACATACACATGTGTGCTTGCGTGCATGTATGCATGTGTGTGCATGTGTGTGCAGTGTGCATGTGTATACGGTGTGCTTGAAGTATGCATTATGTGTATGTGTGTGTGCGCGCGCGCTGCAGCAAGGGACTCAACTGGTGCAGTAGGGAGGTTGCCACGGTCAAGGTGGGAAATGGGAGGAGAGGTCAGAAAAGACGAAAGCTAACGCAGCCTTTCCCTGTGCGCAGAACATCCTGAAGAGGGTAGAAGAGAGCTCGGAGCGGGAGTGCACTGCCTTGGACGCCCACAAGGAGCTGGAAATGGTGAGCCTGGCCTCCTCGTGTGCGGCGTCCCAATCCACTGCTTTCCTCATCCAGGCGCACCTTCCCGGCCCTGCTCCCCGTATCCGTGTGTCTTTTTAGAAAATGCAAATTCATTTTAAAATTCGCTTTTGTAGGCCAGGCGCAGTGGCTCACGCCTATAATCCCAACGCTTTGGGAGGCCAAGGCAGGCGGGTCACTTGAGGTCAGGAGTTCAAGACCAGCCTGGCCAACATGGTAAAACCCCACCTGTACCAAGAAAATACAAAAATTAGCTGGGTATGGTGGTGTATGCCTGTAATCCCAGCTACTTGGGAGGCTGAGGTAGGAGAATCGTTTGAACCTGGGAGGCGGAGGTTGAAGTGAGCCAAGATTGCGCCACTGCGCTCCAGCCTGGGCGACAGAGAAAGACTCTGTCTCCAAAAAAATAAAAAGATAAAAAATAAAATTTGCTTTTGCAATCCAGAAGAGTCACTGGAGCTTAAAAAAAGCATCAGGTGTGGCTTGGGTAGAGCCTGCTTCACCCTGCTTCCCCGTTCCAGCCTTACATGCCCGCCCTCTGTCTGTTACTGTGGCTGGCATGGATGTGGGGACAGCAACATGGCCCTCAGGACACTTCACCAGTGTGGAGCTCTGTGGTCATGCACAGGCACTGATTCCTCTCATCAGCCGCCCCTTTGCATCTCCGGGAGAGGATTCACTGGCACTGCCCAAGAGTGCAAGGACCCTTTCTCTGGATCATCTGATCCTCAGAGAGAGATGGCTCCTCCTGAGGTTTGGAGCAGGGCAGGGGTTTTGCAGGAAGGGCCATCGAGTACGTTTCAGTCCTCAGGAGCTCTGCTGCATTTGGTTCCTGGCCTCAGCTGGAGCTAAGAGCCAACTTTTGGCAGCTGTGCTGGGGAACCTCCATTGAGCCAGTGACGCCATCATGATGGAGAGCAAGGCGAGGGATGCCTATTCCACTTCTTTGTCACTCTAGTAAAAAGAATATCACTCTCGGTGGGCATCTGATGGCCATTCTCAGCCACATGGAGACATGAGGACTTCCTACCCTAATGCAGTTGGTTCCCACCTCAGGCCTCTTCCCCTGTCCCTTCCCAGACCAGTTAGCTACCACAGTTCCTCTGGCAGTTACATGCTGTGCCTAGTGGGGAAGGCCCGAGCCTCAAGCGGGGCAGCTGGGAGCATCATGGCCTGTGAGGCGGGCAGCGTCTATAGGGGCCACGCCCACCTCTGGAAACACAACTTCCCTTTTACTTACCAGATGTGAATTCATTCCAGTCCCCACCAGACAGCGGCCACCATGGCCTGTGTGGGGCCCACGTGCCCCAGAAGGGTCTCCGGGAGGTCAGCCCTGGGCTAGGGGTACATTCTCTATTGTTTTAAGTTATTTTCTGCTTTCATCTTCATTTTCCTTATAATGAAAAGTATACGCTTGTTTCTAATAGCTTGCTTTTTAAAAATAAAGGTTTATTTTTTCTTTGATTTATAAAATAATTATACTCAATACCAGAAAACTCAGAAAATGCTAGTAAATAAGAAGAAAACAGTAAACTTCTCCAGCCACCTCACCCTCCCTGCTGACATGCTGCAGCTTGTCCCAAACAGACCCTGTGCACACACACCTGCACAGCACACTCACAGGGCACACGCTGCACGTCCACGGCCCACACATATCACACACAGTGCACACTGCACATACACACAGCGCATGCTTATCACACACAGTACACATGGCACATACACAGTACACACTGTACATGTCACACACAGTACACACTGCAAATATAGCATACACATCACACACAGTACACACAGCACATACACGGCCCATACCTATCATACACAGTACACACTGCACATACACATAGCACATGCTTACACATAGCACACACGTGGCACATACATATCACAGGCAGTACACACTGCACATGTGTACACAGTACACACACACATTGCACATATGCACAGCACATGCTGCATAAACACGGCACACACAGCACACACACCACTGTATTCTAAGGGCTTGTGGCTCAGAAGCAGCTTTGCTCCGCATTCGAGTGCATGTGGCGTCCCTGCCTCGCTCCTGGATTTCTGTTCTTGCATATATGCGTAGATCATAATTATTTTAGTCAAATGCGTTGATGGCCGTTGGGGCTGATGATCGTGTTTCTCATTCTAGACAACACTGCAGGGAGCTCCCTGCTCACGCGTCTCTGGGCATGGTGCTCATTGATGTACCCTGACTGAGAGCCTGTGGCGAGCCTGGCCCCATGCCAGGCCCTGTGTGTCAGTATGGAGTTTTCTTTCTTCAGAACGAGTCCTCAGGAGTCCCAGGAATTGTGGAATTGTTAGGTCCCTTGGTGCCTGGGCTGCCTCCCAGGAGGGTGTGGGGAGAACAGCCCGGAGCCTTGCTGGTCCGTCCCACCTGCAGAGGAGGAGGGATGCCTCATGCATGTGTTTTCTGGAGTTTGCTTCCTACCAAGGGCAAGGCAACTTTCTCCACTGGGACTAACAGGTTTTCCCACTCGCCTTTGTCCCATGAGGCACTAGAAAGAGGAGCTCCAGCCCAACAGAGACTGGCTGGCCGGCCTCAGCTGTGGGCACAGTGCCTGGTCACAGTGGCCACTCAGCCCTTTCTGGGGCCTGAGCCAACAGAAGGAAGGGGCTGGGACAGTTGGCTGTGGTGGCCTGATGTGCCCTCCTTCTTGTCCCAGGTGGTGAAGGCGTGCAACGAGGGTGTCAGGAAAATGAGCCGCACGGAGCAGATGATCAGCATTCAGAAGAAGATGGAGTTCAAGATCAAGGTGAACCGGAGAGACTGGTGTGAGCCTGTGCCCCGAGCCCCGCCCCAGCGGCGTAGATCACTGGGCCTGGCTGGCCTTGCTTAGGTCCTTGGTCACTGGCCACGCTTAGGTCACCCCGGCCCCCTGACCTCCCCAGCTGAAGCCACCCTGCCTGCTGCCAGGCATCAAATACCATCATGGTGGCCCAGACCTGTCTCCTGAGAGACGGGAGTGTGGGGCTGGTGTGCAGCCAGAGGGACGAGGGGTGTGGATCCCGCTCTCAGCTGCCGGCTGCGTGGCCTTAAGCAGTCAGTTTACATGGAGGGTGTGGTGGGGGCTACTCCAGGGATTCTCAAACCAGGAGGCTCTGGAGTTACCAACCTCCCTGAAACGTTACAGAAAACTTCAGGGACTCGTGAGCCCCTCAGGGCCCCTGCGGCCAGAGTTTCTGGGAACTTGGGCACATCAGCACACTGTGCCCACAGAGGGTCCCTAAGGTCAGGCTTGGTTTGGGAGCTGAGCTCCACTCAAGGAGGCAAAGGTGGTCTCCTGGGCATCCCATGTCGCCGGGTGCCAGGTGCCTGCCCTGAGCCTTATCATCCGCTGAGTGACTGTCCAGCTGCAGGCCTGGCCTCCTTGCCCCATGAGTCCCATTCTTTCCTCTCCACTGTGAACTCAGCCCCTTCTCTGATTCTGCATCCAACAGGCAGAGCTTGGTGGGGGCAATGATGGCAGATACCAGCCGCCACACCCACAGGCACACACGGTGTCCACACAGCAGTGCACACACGTACACACGTCAACAGCAGTGCACACACGCACACACACTTGAAGCTCACATGGGGGTGCACAGAACACAGTCCACACACAGAGACACAAATCCACATGCACAAAAGCACATGCAAAATACACTCATGCCCACAGGGGTGCACATTCACACACACACAGCTCCGCCATCTCTCTGCATCCGTCCAGAACTCCGCCATTCCCTCCACTTGTGCCTCATGTGTTGGGGCCCTGGGCAGGCGTCAGGGAATGTGACAGATGCAGCACCGGGGGCGTGTCCTGGAGAGGAACATTATGGGCACAGCCCGCCTGATGCCCTCTCTCCACCACAGTCGGTGCCCATCATCTCCCACTCCCGCTGGCTGCTGAAGCAGGGTGAGCTGCAGCAGATGTCGGGCCCCAAGACCTCCCGGACCCTGCGGACCAAGAAGCTCTTCCACGAAATTTACCTCTTCCTGTTCAATGACCTGCTGGTGATCTGCCGGCAGATTCCAGGGTGAGTCAGGGCCCAGGGTGACAGGCGCTCTGCTGGGCAGAGGAACGTGTTGGGCGTTGGGTCTGATTATGGCCTGGGTGTAGCGGGGATCGGGACAGAGCTTGGGCTTTTGGGTCACGTTTAAAGGTCTGTTCTGCTGTGGCCCAGGTTTGGGCTTTTAGCCAAGGTGGTTTCACTTCCCTAAGCCTCAGTTTCCCCTCCTGTAAATCAGGGGTTTTACTCCTAGGGCTGTGAAGGGCCCAGCGTCTGATACATAGTGAGCGCTCAGCAGGGCAGCCATGGTGGGGTCGTCAGGGTTGGCAGGACCGTGGTGCTGTCCATTGTCAGCACCTGGGATGGGTCACCCTTTTGGGGTGTGGGAGACAGGCGTTCAGGTGGGAGCTTCGGAAGGAAGTGAAGATTGGCCAGCGCTGTGGAGCCAGGCTCGCTGGCCTGCCAAGTGGGGCTCTCCTGGGACTCCCACAAGCCTCCTTGGGGCTGACACGCCTGCCCTTCTCCCTGATCTCCAGAGACAAGTACCAGGTATTTGACTCAGCCCCTCGGGGCCTGCTGCGCGTGGAGGAGCTGGAGGACCAGGGCCAGACGCTGGCCAACGTGTTCATCCTGCGGCTGCTGGAGAACGCAGACGACCGGGAGGCCACCTACATGCTAAAGGCGACCTCTCAGTGAGTGCCTCGCCGTCGCATGCCCGGTGGTGGCACCTTTCGGTGTGGCCTTGATGCTCATAGGTCTGTCTCCAGGTGGAACAAGGCACCACGCACGCCCCTCGTGGGGCTGACCTGGCAGTCCTTCCCATCCAGACCCTGCAGCAGTGCTTTCTGTGAGGCCTCTGGGGGTGGCTGCAGTTTCGTGGGTGCGTGTACCTGCGTGTGCATGTATGCGTGCGTGCGTGCGTGCGTGCGTGCGTGTGTGTGTTTTCCCTCGGGGCTTCAGATTCCAGGTGAGTCTCTCTTTTTGGATGGGCCGTTTTAGAACCTCCAGTCAGGCTGAGCAGGGAACTACCATCCTCCTCCCCCTGCCTGCCCACTTGCTGTGTGGCCTTGAGCTCATCTCTTCACCTCTCTGAGCAGCTGGGACCCCTGCCCGGCAGGCCTAGGCCCCCCAAGAGGGACAAGCAAGCTAAGTGTGGGGAGAGACGCTCTGCAGGCCCTGAGCCTGGAACTCCCTCGGGGCCTGCTGAGCTGAGGCTCCACTCTCCTGCCACGGGCCCGAAGCTGCCCCTCACCCACAACTCACCAGATAGCCTCCCCTGCCCAGACCTGAGGCTGCAGCTAACGTGGACCAGGGCAGGACCCGTGGGGATGAGAAACTGTGGCTTCGGTGGCGTGGCTGTGGCCAAAGAGTGTGCTCTTGTGCATTACCTGGTGGGGGCCGTTACCTTTCAGGCTCACCCTCACGGCCTGACTTTGGAAAGCCTCACACGGGAACATCATGGGGGCACTCCCTTGTCCCTCTGTGGGTTCCTGTGTGTGTCAGACCCTGGACCAGCCCATTTCTGTGGCTCTCCCGAGCCGTCCCTGGGGTGGGCTCAAGCGGTGCTCAGGACGGTGGCTGCGGATCCGAGGGGCAGCTAGCTGGGAAGCCTGGCGCACATCTTGGGGGCCGCTGTTGCTCTGCAGTTGGGGCACTGTCCTCTTCCCTGTGCCAGGAGTGAGATGAAGCGCTGGATGACCTCACTGGCCCCCAACAGGAGGACCAAGTTTGTTTCATTCACATCCCGGCTGCTGGGTAAGTCACCCGTGGGTAAGGGGCCGCCATGTGTGCTTGGGCCGGCCCTGCCTGCTGCTGCCGCCTGCACGCGTGCGCTTGCCTGGAGGGAGCTCTCCCTGAGCGGTCATCACAGAGGCCCGCATGGGCCCCCAGGCACTGCTTCCAGTGGAAACAGTACTAGCCAGGAATCTGACATGCCCACGTTGTACGAATATTAGACGGGCCTTAAGTGACAGGTGCCACAAAGTCACCAGGAGGAATTTGGACCAAACTCCAGTGCTATTTTAGGGTTGCCAGGTGCCCAAAAAGCTTATTAAATACAAAAATGCCAGGCGCAGTGGCTCACGCCTGTAATCCCAGAATTTTGGGAGGGCGAAGTGGGTGGATCACCTGAGGTCAGAAGCTTGAGACCAGCCTGGCCAACATGGCGAAACCCCATCTCTACTAAAAATACAAACATTAGCCAGGCATGGTGGTGCATGCCTGTAGTTTCAGCTACAAAATTTCCTTCTGAAGTTTAAACAAAGGCCACCTCACAGCCTGTTTTCATGTGTTTCTTCCCAGAACTCCTGGCTATGTTAATAATGTTTTCTCTGGAAACAAACCCTCCTCTTCCTCAGACGAGCCTTATTCAGTTGCTATGGGAGTTTTCCCATTCTAGGCAGGGATCAGCCACGGGCTTAGTGGGAGCAGGCAGGTGGGTGGTGCGGTGGTGGGGACGTGCCTGTGCCTCTTGTCCCTCAGACTGCCCCCAGGTCCAATGCGTGCACCCGTACATGGCTCAGCAGCCAGACGAGCTGACGCTGGAGCTCGCGGACATCCTCAACATCCTGGACAAGACTGATGATGGTGAGGCCGGGACCTCCCCTTGGAGCCCCCAGGGGTGCCGCATGGAGCCCTGCCGGGCAAGGGATGAGGGGGAGGTGGAGAAGGGGATGCCACTGCTGGCTGATGGGCAGGTGGGGCGGTGGCCCACCTTGTCTCTCGCTCCCTGCGATGTTCCGCTTGGACACCTCCCATCCTGGCTTCATTGGCCTTTCCTCGGCCGAGAGGAGGAATCATTTTTAGTACCTCCCCTGTCCTTCCCTAGAGCTGGGAGGCCCCACCGTTCCTCCTTCACAGTGGGCTCAGCCCAAGTGGTGGCTCCGTGTCCCCTTCCCCTGGCCCTGGCCTCGGAACCCCCATCACAGGGGGAGGGAGGACAACCAGGAACATCCTAACCCTGACCTGACCCCGCCCCAGCCCTGTATTTGCAGCAAGCTTCCAGGTAAGCCTGTGACCCCCAGGCTCGGTACCCCATGTGGGCCAGGAAGCCGCCCCCAGCTCCTGGCTGCCCCTGCTGGTGTCATCAGAACCCAGTGAAGTTCCTCCCAGCCCCACAGAGTTGAACACGGTCCCCCTTTCCTTTTTCAAATCACATCCCTGTTTCTACAGTAATTGCTCCTGATCCAAATCCCCAGAGTGAACCGCAGCATTTTCCCTCCCAGCTCCTCTCCTGCCAGGTCCCGGTAGAAGGCCTCAGGCTGTGACCTCCGGGGGAGGCCTCCTCCAGGCAGTCCCTCTTTTGAGCCCCCAAAGGCCCAGGGGCTCTCCTGCCCTCTTCCCACAGAATATAACTGGCCTACTCCCCTCCCAAATGAGACCTGCAGAGGGCACGCCCCAGGCCTTTTAGCCCCCAGGTTGGGACACACTACAGGTCAGCTGCAGGCTCTGAGCAAAGACCTGGAGGTCTCCAGAGAAGGGGAGGGGTGGAGAAACGGCAGGGAGAAGGCAGGTGACGCTGCGACTCCTGGCACTGCCAGTTTGCGATGGGCCCTCTCCACTGACCATGCCGGCCGTCGGGAGGCCACACCTGGGAGGATCTGCCCAACAAGAGGTGGATGACACGTCCAGGCGGCCACCCGCGTGCTCAGCTGCCACCCCCACCGGCCCCTTGAGCACCTCCAGCTTTTTGGAGTGGCCCTTGGGGTCTCCTGGGCTCGGTAGGGTAGCATAGAATTGCTGAGAGTCCCAGAGTGGGTTCCAAAGTCAATGTGGAACTGCGTGGGACGGAGCAGGCCTCGTTCTGCGCAGGTGCCCACGTACCTCCCAGCTTATGGAGGTGAATCCAGTCTTGGCAGAGGTGTGCAGAGCCCCTGCCTTTCAGGAAAGGCCAGCTGGACCCCCTAGTGTCCCACACACAGATGGGGGCTGGGCTGGAAAGGAGCCTCTGTGCAGCCCCTGCCCTGCAGGAGTGCCTGACCCTCCCTCCCTCCCCTCCCTGCACAGGGTGGATCTTTGGCGAGCGTCTACATGACCAGGAGAGAGGCTGGTTCCCCAGCTCCATGACAGAAGAGATCTTGAATCCCAAGATCCGGTCCCAGAATCTCAAGGAATGCTTCCGTGTCCACAAGATGGATGACCCTCAGCGCAGTCAGAACAAGGACCGCAGGAAGCTGGGCAGCCGGAATCGGCAATGACCCCCGCTCAGGGGGCTGGCGGGAGCAGGGCCTGCAGGCGACCCCGACAGAAGGTGGGGGGCTCTGGGAAGCACAGGCCAGCGCCTCCCCAGGTGGCACGATCTGGCTTCGGGTGCCCGGGCTTCATCCCTGCCGACACAGTGAGTGCTCACGTGTCTTGGACCCTTGCTCGAAAACCGGATAAAGGGTGCCCACGCCTCTCCTGATGCATTTGTAATCAAGAAGGTTTCAGCAGTATTACGCCACCCTCCTCGTGCCTCTGAGGGGGTAGAAGGGAGTGGGCACACTCCAGGGCCTCCCCAGCCCCTGGCCCCCAGGGTCTGGTAGAGGCTGCCAACCCAGAGTGTCCCTATGGGAGGCAGGCAGAAGGTGACAATTGACATGATCTCCTGCACGCGTCCTCCTCTACCTTGGAAGCAGTTAGAATCCACAGGGCACAGGTGGGGCCGCCCTTGCCTGACGGAGCTTGATGAGCAGCCCTTGGTCTCTGGTTCACAGGACTGAGAGCCCAGCCGCCTCTGTCCACCCCTCCCTGGGCCTCTGCCAGCCTCTGGCTGCACGGTCAGGCCCTGCTCCACACAGGCCTGCCAGAGCTTGGCTGGGGACCCCTCCCGCCTCTGGCTCCCTGATGGCTGGATGTAACTTGTGTCTTCTGGTCCCTTAAGGAGCCCAGGTGTTTTAAGGAATGAATTGGCCACTGCATCTTGTATCGATTATGGTTCTGAGAAAAGCAAATATCACTTTTGGCTGCATTAAAAGAAGCATCATATATAAAATAAAGGAGATAAAGGTCTACTCTTTATTGCCCTGGTACACAAAGGAAGGCGGTGTTTGGTTCCAGGCAGGGAGAGAGGAGCACCCCTTCAAGGCCGGTGGAGGCTTCTCCAAAAGGAGGGGCTTGAGGAGGTTTCCAGAGCAGCGGGGAGCAGCTGGGCTTCACCTCAGCATGGGAGTGGATTTGGGCTACACTTGTAGACTCCAGAAGCAGAAGGGACTGTTTGGGGGAGCTGCGGATGCCCCTCTGCTGCAGTGGCAGTGAGGACATAGCTTGGGAAGGCCACAGAGGCCCTGAGGTGTCCCTGGTGGGGGCCCTACAGGGGATCTAAGCACAGGCGTGGGGCTGGGACTTCTGCACGACCCAGACACAGGCCTTAGGCCCTTCACACCTTCCGTTACCCAGAGCTGCAGCCCCTCCCCTTGCCCCAGCTCCGTCCCAGCGTGTTGAGGGGTCCTGCGTGTCCAGGACCACGCTCTCTGCCAGGACAGTTTCCCTGCTCACCGGAACAGGCCTTTGATTTAGATCCAGTGGACTCTGTAGTGTCTTCCCACAGGCCACAGCAGGGTGCTTGGCAGTCCTGAGACCTCAGAGCCTCTGAGAATCAGGGATGCACAGGTGTGACACTGGTTCCACCAGCGAGGGAGTGCCCCCTGGTCCCCGTGACAGGCTCGTGATGCACCCCTTGGTTGGGGAGTGATTGCAGAGTGGGGAAAGAGGGGGCCATCTCTGATCCCTGGAGGGGAGGGTTGGGAAGGAGTGGGTGGCCATTGGTCCCTGTGCTTTGTGATGCAATTGAGTTGGATCATCTGCTGTAATGATGGCTTTGGTTACTCGAAGTTATGTGAGATGAAATAAGTTAACCGATTAGGAAAATAGGCCCATTTCATAGCACTCCTTTATAAGCAGAATCGTTTAGAGGTGTGTTTTGGGGAGACCAGTGGAGTCGGAAACTGTTAACAAAGACTCGGCTGAGGCCTTGGCCCCATGCCCCAGTGTGTGAGAGGTGCCTGGACACCGCCTGGGCTCCTCGAGTGTCCAGAGGGAAAAGTCATGGCAGAAAATGGTGCCATGGGGAGCTCAGGCACGCCAAAGAGGCCAAAATAGCTGCAGGAGAAAATAGTTTTTTAAAAGAGAGGAGCAGCTTGCCCTCCAGCAGCATCCCACTCTGGAATCTCCAGATGCATTAAGCTGCCCTCAAGGGGTCTGCTGGCTTCCAAACTGTCCCGGCCTTCCGTCTAAAGGCCCGGGGGACTGGGGTGGGGACCAAGTTCCCACTTCCCTGCTAAGCCGAAGGTTAAATGATCACAGAATCAAAGTTCACATCTCTAAATGCTTTCGAGGTGGGGACCGTGGGCCAGGCGGTTCCTCATTCACTCCTCCCCCACGCTCTGCGGGTGAAGTGGGGTGAGTGGACCTGGGAAAGCCGTTTTCTCTCCCTGAACAGACGAACCCTTGGCGTGGCGGCTGCCGGCTCGGCCCAGCCAGGCCCGGGGGTGAGCGTGGGAAGCAGGGCGGGCAGCGCCTGGAGTCTGCCGTCGACTCATCCCGCTCCCGGGGCTCCCTGGGCAGCGGGGTTCCCGGGGGGACTGGGGCTGCGGGTCTGAGCCCGCGGGTGGGGCCCTTGCTGTGGGGCCCAGAGTCACAAGACGTCCCCCAAAATAACGCGGCCTCTGGCTGGAAGCGCCGACGCCGCCGCCCTCCCCCAGCCCGGCCTTAGGCAGCCGCAGGCCTCGGGGTCTCCGTCGGCCTTTCCAACCCTCTTGCTTCCCTCCTCACGGAACGTTCTGGACCTCAGCGGAGCGGAATGGAGGCCAGGCCTTGGGGAACGCGGTGAGCGCAGCGAGCGCCAAGGCCCGGGCCCAAGCAGGGGAGGCGGCGCCGAGAGAACTGGCCGCCCGTGGCTCTGGCCGTGACCGTGCACCCGACCGGGCTTAAGAGCGCCGGCCGCTCACCAGCTCGGGCACCCTGGCGGCCCCGGTGCACGCGCACCGCGCGCTCACGCGGCACTCCAGCCGTGGTGCACGCGGATGCCGAGCGGTGCGGTCCTGCGCGCGCTCACGTGCACGCCGCACGCACCCGTGCTCCAACTGGCCGTGCGCTCACGCTCACGCGAGCCCCTGCGGGGAGTGAGGGCGCGCCGCTGGCCCCGCGCGCGCTCACGACGACCACCCTCGCCGCCCCACGCACGTGCACGACGCCTGCCCTCACCACCCCGCGCGCGCGCACCCCGACCTGCGCGCTCGCCTGCGCGCTCACGCTCTGGCACACCTGCACGCGCGGACACACGGGCGCGCCGGGAGTGCAGCCGATTCGCGCCGCGGCCGGGCGCGGCCCCTTTATTGGCTTCAGGAGGCGGAAAACTTTCTCAGCGCGACGACCACGAGCGCCAGCACCACGCAGGTGGCCAGCAGGGCGGCGATCACGATGGCTGCGATGGCGCCGGGCCCCAGCGACCCTGCGGAGGACGGAGGACCCTGTCACTCGCCGGCCCCCGCCCCGGCCGGCCCTCCTCCCCGCGCTCCCGCCCCTCCTTCTTACCCGCCCCCGCCCCGCCCGTACCGCCGCCCTGGTCCAGCCGCTCCTGCGCGGTGCTGTCCTCGGGTCCTGGCGCGGCGGTGGGGGCTGGGGGACCGGTGTCCACGGGCTCCCGGCCGGGGCTGGTGCTCTCCACAGGGCCTTCTCCCGACGGCAGCTCGGCGGGCTCGTTCCACAGCGTGGGCACAGGCTCCTGCGGACCCTCATCTGCAAGGCCAAGGAGAGGCGTTCGGGCCGCAGGTGACAGAACCGACAGGACGTGACCCCCACCTCTAGGTTAAGCAAGTTGCATGTGGCGCTGTGTGAGAGGTCTGGGCCCAGCGCTGCACTGGCCCTCTCATTTCCCAGGCAAGGCAGCTTCGAAATCGCCTCCCAAAACTAGGAGACCGCATGCCTGTCACCCCACAGTGGCTTCTGGGGCCAGGCTGCTCCAGAAGAGGGAATAAGGGCCTCAGAAGGCCATGAGAACGCTAGGCTGGCAGCAGAGGCAGGGAACATGGGCCCAAGCCCTGAAATCCTGGGCAGGGGCTTGGCCTATTCAGCTGAACTGCAGGGCTGTGTGGGCCTGGGTGAAGTGACACTTGTGAGGGTTCCCTCCCCACAGGGCAGACGACACAGCAGCCTTCATCCTGGGAAGAGGCTGCTATCCTTGGGGGCTCCACTGCTGCAGGGAGTGGGAGGAGAGGCCCATGGGGAACCCTAGGGGCACAGGCACTCCGCTTCCCTGCCTTGGCCCCACCCTGCACCAGGTGTGGGGCCCGCAGGGCACAGGCCCAGCCGGGGCCTCTGTAGCCTAAGAAGCTGAAGCCAGTGTGTTGGTGCCTCCTGAAGAGCAGGGCTGGTGGGTGGGCAGGAGTGCCTGGTCAGTGTAAGGGAGGTGCCCCCCCAAAGCCCTTCTCTGCCCATAGGGTTGGGAGTTAGCAAAATTTAGGGTACCCAGGGACCAGAGAGCAGGAAGGAGACATTCTCAGGTCCCACAGAAAGCACAGCCTGAGACACCTGCGTGATAACAGGGCCCTGTGCCCCTCACCAGCCAGCCCACCCCCGTTGTCCTCCCCCTCCCACCACCCCAGCCCTGGGCCATTCTTCCCGGACAACCAGACAGGAGGCCCCAGAAACGCTGGAAAGCTCAAGATGGGGATGGTTGGCTGGCTCTTGGCCTCTCCAGCCCAGCCAGACCAGCGGACATCACAGTGTTAGCAGGGCAGGGCCTGCCCATGCCCTAATCGCTCAGCGTTTTGTGGTTTTTTTTTTTGTTGTTGTTGTTGTTGTTTTGAGATGGGGTCTTGCTGTGTGGCCCAAGCTGGAGTGCAGTGGCGCAATCTCAGCTCACTGTGACCTCCACCTGTGGGACTCAAATAATTCTCTTGCTTCAGCCTCTCAAGTAGCTGGGATTACAGGCGCTTGCCACCATGCCTGGCTAATTTTGTATTTTTACTAGAGATGGGGTATTGCCATGTTGGCCAGGCTGGTTTTGAACTCCTGACCTCGGGTGATCTGCCCTCGTTGGCCTCCCAAAGTGCTGGGATTACAGGTATGAGCCACAGTGGCAGGCCTCATGCCCTCATCTCAACTAGGATAGAGACTGTGATCCAGACACCCGACCCTCGAGCAGATCCCTAGGATGAGCTGGGGGGTGTCCCGACATCTCCTCTCTTTGACTCCAGCTTCTCTGGTGTGGGAACTGCTTCTATCTCCATTTCAGAGACGAGAAAACCAAGGTTTGGGGAAGTCAGGTGCCGCGGTGGTGAGCACTGGAGGTGAAGACTTGGACAGTTGCAGGAGTGGTTGTGCTGCCCAGAAACTGGGCAGGAGGCTGCCGTTGTGCCGACAGGTCACACAGGCCAGCCTGCAACCCTAGGGTACCTTTTGTCCCTGCGGGTTCCATCGCTGAGCGCTGGGGCATGGGCACAGAGTCAAGCCAGATACATGCCCTCCTCCTAGGCTCACCAGCACCCAGAGAGGAGGATGCTCAAGAAGACACAGGTCCTTCCAGGGTTTTCCGGCCAACTGTGTCCATCTAGGGCAAACTCGCAGAAACATCAGCCCACCCAGACTCAGCATCAGTCAGAATAACTGGGCCTTCCCAAATGTCACAGTCAGGAAAATCAAAGAAAGGCTGAAGGTTCCAGATCAGAGACGAGGGAGACAGCTCCGTGCAAGGTGTGTTCCTGCACGGGGAGGAACGGGCCTGTGATCGGAGACGCTGGGGTCTGCTGGTGAAGTTTGAACAGGGTGTGGCTTAGGACGCCTTCAGTACTCATTTTCTGGCTTTCATAGCTGACTCTGATGTGTAAGAGAATGTCCTTGTTCTTCGGATGAATTTAGGGGCAAAGGAGCATGACTCCTGCAACTTACTCTCAAATGACTCAGCGTTCAGATAGAAAGAGGATTCAGCAATGTGGCAAAATGCTGGCAGTTGGCGAGACTAGCTAGATGGCCCCCTGGAGTTGATTGGATTATGTGTGCAACTTTTCTGTAAACCTAAAATCTTTCCACAATAAAATGTTAGCAGGACCTGGCTTCCTGGGCCTCTCGGTTGCCAGCCTCAGCTCTGAGACTCGGCTTGCTGACCTTTCAGCTGACCTTCCACATTCCCCAGGTCTGGCCCAAGGCAGAACCCCTTTCCAGAAAAGACCTCTGGCAGGAGGACCCAGGGATGGAAGGCCCATTGGCCCACACCTGGGGGAGGCTTCCCTCCCGAGGGGCCCAAGGACTGTGGCACTGGTGTCTGTCAGCCTCCCGCCAACCTTGAAGCCCACCCTGAGAGGAGGGGGTGGTGACCCAGCCAGGCCTCCCATGTCTCAGCCTGAGAGGCAGACGTCTGCAGCCTCGAAGCCTCCATGGAAGGCCCCAGGCCTCCCAGGTGTGCTTGCCTCAGGCTTCTGGGGGCTGGGCAGGAAAAAGGCCTGAGTGTGCCCACCGCCTGGCAGGCGCCAGGATCTAGGCTCACCGACTACCTGTCTCCCCAGAGAAATGGACAAATGACATACCCGAGGCAGACCGACAGGCAGGCACCTCCCTGCATCTAGAGGCCGCTACAGGGCTGCTGGGTACCAGGCTCAGTTGACGCTGGTGGCATCTGTGGGAATCACCCCTGAGCTCAGGACGAGGAGTGGCAGGGCTCAGTCCCAGGGCCAGCCCAGCAGTGGTGAGCTGCCACCCTTGAGGGTGCCTTCTGAGCAGGGCAGTGGGGAGCTCCACTCCAGCCCTGTCCCCGTCTGTCTCCCGTGTCCCAGCCTCTGTCTGCTGCCCCCCAGCACCAGACATACCTGCCCCGGCCTCCTCCCACTGTACACAGCCCCCTCCTGCCAGCCAGGCCGTGAAACTTTCTAATCAGGAGGGCTGGGGCCTGTCCTTGCTCCCTCGGGCTCTCACCCTGGGGCCCCAGCAGCTGGACTTCATGTCCCAACTCCACCTTCCTGGCCTGTGAGGTAGGGGTTCAGGCTATGCGGTCAAGCATCTTCCACAAGGAGGTAACTTCGAACATCAGCATCTTCAGCTGCTGTCCCTGGCCTGGGGCGCTCTGGACACAGGCCCAGTTGCTATGTGTCTGCAGCCGCTGGCCGTCCTGTCACAGGAATCCCTCACAGCTGGCCCAGGACCTATCTGCACCCAAGCAGCCAGGGCCCCAGGGGCCACCAGCTTCCTGCCAACCTAGGCTGGTGCCCAAGTGGCAGACACACGTGTTCATGATGACAGCCTGTACTCAGCCACCGAGCCACCAGGAAAAAGGGTGCCACTGCCGGGGAGGGGCCGAGGCATTTCTTATCCTCATCTGTTTCTAGAATTTACTCCAGTAAGAAGGGAAAGCACAGCTGAAAGGTAATTCCCATCCTCCCCCAAATCTATCCTTTTGGGAAGTCCAGAAAAGAGCAGTCAGTTTCCTAGCAGGAGTCCTGTCTGGGAGGGCAGAGATGGGGCGGGAGCGAAGGTGTGGAGGACGGAACTCATGGCATGCTGGGCAAGCAGTGAACAGGCTAGGGGGACAGAAGTGAGGGTGGCAAAGGGGTGGGGCCACGGAGGACCCTGAGAAAGTTCCATCTGCCTGGGCAGTAATAAGGCCCAGACTCCATTGATCAGAATTAGTTCTGTGGTATGACTAGGCGCTCTGACCCAGGGAAGCAGGGGTCTGGTGGCACTGCCACAGGCCTGGGCACCACGGGCTCTCTCCCAGCCACACTGGCCCCAGCTGCCCTGCCTTTCAGTAAATAAGTTTGTTCTGACCACAGGGCCCTGAGGCTAGGCGCCGCCACTCACAGACACTCTTTGTGTGGGCCATGAAGGGCCTTTTCATCCCTGCCCTGGCCTTCGGCCCACTAAGCCCGGCCTGCTCCCACCTCAGGAGCTGAGGCCACAGGCCCTGACGGGGAGGGCCTCTGCCTCGGATGGGGCCTGGGCCTTAGCCCACGAGGCTGCTCCTTCCCTTCCTGTCTGCCACAGGACCCCAGCCCACAGAGCAGAGGGCCGGGGTACACACCTGCTCAGAGCTCCCAGCCCAGGGCTGGGTACTGAGAGCCTCCCAAACGCCCCTCCCCTCAAAATGGCAAGAACAGCAGCCAGAGCCCCAGAGACCCCGGCCCCTGCCCGGGGGCCTGCCTGCTCCTGGTAGGACACATGGAGGAAAGTGGGATGGTGAGGCCAGGTGAGGTCCTGGCTGTCCCCAAGGCATCCTGTGGTGGCAGAGGAAGCCCACCAGCCCACAGTGATTAGGGACAGTCTGGCCTGGGAACTCTGGCCAGCAGACTGGGTGGGGAGGGTCAGCCACACAGGAGCCGGAACCTGGGCCAGAGCACAGGCAGTGCCCCCGGGCCCAGCAGTCAGGAGCCAGGGCCTCCCCCTCCGCCCACACGGACCACCAGCGTCATCCTGGTGAGGGGGGCCGCAAAGATCACAGCCCCGGGATCCAAGCCAGGGAAGACACCACCTTCCCCTTTAGGACCCTCCCCCCACTCCTGGGGACACCGCATGGCTCGATGGCGCCTCTCCCACCACAAAGGAGGCTGGCACCCTCCCAGGCTGCAGGAGGAGGCCACGGAATCTGCATTCCCCTGATGTTCACTGAGCGCTACCTGAATGCGGGGCCCATCCTGAAAGCTCCACACATCTGAACTCACGAGGCCTCACAGCCCCTTCGAGTGAGGCAGAGCGTGGCGGTGTCCCCATCCTACAGATGAGGGGAAGGTGCCGAGAGGCTGAGCACACCCCGGCCTCCAGCTCCTTCCTGGGTGTGCAGGGAGAAGCCAATAGCCCCAGGGCTCCTCGCTGTCACCCAGGCCTCCCAGGGGGTGGCCAAGGGCGTCTCCCTAGGCCTGTCATCCCCCAGCAACCCTCCTCAGCCTGTGCTCTCATGACTGTGGTCCACTTCTGTCACCCGGCCCACAGGCACCCTTGAGAAGGCCCAGGCTGCAGGCACCTGGACACCCGCAACTGTGACACAGAGGCCGGCTGCCCTTTGGTCCAACTTCTGGCCAGCGGGAGAAAAGACCACCTGGGACTCGTCTGTGCCCTTTGTCTCTCAGGCTCTGAAGCCAGCCTGGGCTAGGTTCCCCCCCACCCCCCGCTTCCCCCACACAGGACCCCTGGGAGCCTGCCGGAGGCCTCCCTCTCATGGGACCCCAGACCCGGCCACTCTGATCTCAGCCCAGAGGTCCACGCCATTTTGCAGAGGGATCTTGGGCCTTGTGTTCTCTCTCTCTCTGGAACCTTTCCCTAGATGGGGACAGTACCTGGGCCTTCATTCTCTAAGGACATCACAGAAATCAGCAGGGAAGCTTTTGAAAAGTAACCAGCAAGGCTCTGCGTTCTTTGGGCCCCTCAGCTGCTTGCCCCATGCCTGGCGCCCCCGGCTGCCTCCCAGACCTGGGAGACTTCAGATTTTGAAGTGCTAGAGCAATTCCTGTGTCCCCCCAACATCGAAACATCTCTGGGCCTGCCCCCAGGTCATCCTCCCTCTTCAGAGGTCGTTATCCCTGCCGCTAACGATTTCCGGAGACTTCCATCCCACACAGCGCTGCCAGCCGGTCTCACGAGAGCTTTTCGCAGAATCACCCCAAATGGCTGTCCCGTCTCCTGTGAGGGGGCTTCCTCCCCAGTGGACGTTGGAGAGTCTGGCCCCGGTTATCGGCCCTGGGAGGCTGGTGGTGGCAGAGACGGGGACCTTCGCTCCTTACCTGTGAGCACCGCAGGGGCCAGAACCCCAGAGACCAGCAGCAGCGCCATGCGCAGGGCCAGACAGGAGGCCATCCTGGCCAGGAGTGAGCACAGCGGCGGGCAGGACGCTCGGAAGACTGGGCTGGCTAACTTCAGGGCAGTGAGAAAGGCATCAAAGGGCTGGGAAAGGTTTTCATCAATGCAAACTCTGTCCTCCTGGGACACCGTGCCCGCCCCCCGTGCGCGCGCACACACACACACACACACACACACACACACAAAACACACACACACACACACAAAACACACACACACACACACACACACACACACACACACACACACACACAGAGCAAGAGCTCACAGAACAGACACGCTTTCCTGAACCTGGGAGCAGCCCCACTCTTGGAAAGAGGAAATTGCTTGTGCTCTGTCTCTCTCCAGCCCTAACACAGACACCCCCCCACACTTACTCCTGGACATCTGAAAGTGAAAGGTTTTCAAACTTTCTTATGCAAAATAATCACCCAGGGAATTTGAAACATGCAACTGCCTCTGGCCACTGTGTTTCAGTAGGGCTTGGGCAGCCCAGGAATCTGCATGTTAGTGCCGGGGCCCGGGCTCCAGGAAAGTTGGCCTGAAGCCGGCAGCACTGAATACAGGCTGGACCCCACTCGCCCCTGGGTTCTCCATGCCTGGCCAGGAGTAGGCACTCAGAGCTTGTTGAAGAAGCACTTTTATTTATTTATTTATTTTGAGATGGAGTTCCACTCTTGTTGCCCAGGCAGGAGTGCAGTGGCACGAACTCAGCTAACTACAACCTCCACTTCCCGGGTTCAAGTGATTCTCCTGCTTCAGCCTCCTGAGCAGCTGGGATTACAGGTATGTGCTACCATGCCCGGCTAATTTTTTGTAGTTTTAGTAGACATGGGGTTTCTCCATGTTGGTCAAGCTGGTCTTGAACTCCCGACCTCAGGTGACCCGCCTGCCTCGGCCTCCCAAAGTGCTGGGATTACAGGCGTGAGCCACCACGCCTGGCTGAAGCAGCATATCGGGCAGCTCTAGTCTTCCCTAAAACACTCCTGTCTCCTTCTCTGCTCTCTGCTCCCCTGGACCTCTGCACACTCACAACATCCACTGGGCCTGGCTCAGAACTTGGCCCCACGGCCCACTGGGCCTCAGCAGCTCCAAGGGGCATCTAATGAGTGAGTCGGACTGAGAGTGTCAAACGCAAATCTTGACTCCACTGCCTCTCCCCTCACTCAGTCAATGGAACCCCAGTCTCCCCTCCCAGATGTCCTAGCCACACACTGAAGTCATCAGAGGTCTCTCTTTGCCTCACTTCTGACATCCAAGACCTCAGAGTTCTGCCAGTGCTCCCCTTTCATACCATGACGGTTTCCCGCTGCAATATAGGCTTGCCTCGGACCTGCTCAGCTCCCTACCCACACGCTGTTTCAGTCCACTGGCCGTGAGGAGGCTCCCCCAACAAACACACCTGATCCTGCCTCAGGCCTTTGCACGTCCCCCCTCCCTCTCCCAACAGGCAGTCCCTGTGCCCACGACCTGGCCACCCCTTGCATTCAAGCCTCAGCTTCAAGCCTCAGCTTGCTAAGTCAGCCCCTTCCCCCATCACTTCACTTTTAATTTCTTCTTAGCGTGCATATTTATATGAAATTACCTTGTACTTTTGGTTAAATTTTGGAGGAGTAATGCATATTCTATAAAGCACACAAATCTTTTTTTTGACATGGAGTTTCACTCCTGTTGCCCAGGCTGGAGTACACTGGCGCGATCTTGGCTCACTGCAACCTCTGCCTCCCAGGTTCAAGTGATTCTCCTGCCTCAGCCCCCTGAGTAACTGGGATTACCGGCATGCGCCACCACACCTGGCTGATTTTGTATTTTTAGTAGAGACGGGGTTTCTCCATGTTGGCCAGGCTGGTCTCAAACTCCTGACCTCAGGTGATCTGCCCTCCTGAGCCTCCCAAAGTTCTGGGATAACAGGTGCAAGCCACAGCACCCAGCTGACAAATCTTATGTTTATAGATTGATGAGCTTTTCTATATATACACACCTGGGCAAACACCACCCAAATCAGTAGAGATCCTTCCCAGCACAGTAGCAGAGTTCCCTGTGCCCACCCCAGTCATACTCCCAAGGTGCTCTTCCATCTTCTACCTCCATAGCTTCATTTGTCTACTCTTACTCTTGAACTTCAAAAAATGGACTCATAGGAACTCCTGTGTCGGCTATTTTCATTCCACAGTGTCTGTGAGATTCACCCACGTTGTGTGTTGCAGTAGCTCATTCATTTTTTCCTGCTGAATAGTATCCGATTACATGACTGTGCCACAGTTTACCCATTCTCTTCTCCACACCATCCATGTATTTATCCTTACCCACCTGAGTTGTTTCTAGGTTTGGGCTTTTATGATTGCAGCTCCTGTGAATATTCTTGTGCATGTCTTTTTTGTGGAGGTAGGTGTTAATTTCCCTTGGTTGAATAACTGGAGATGGAATAGCTAGGTCAAGGGTACGTACATGCTTAGATTCTCTAGCTACTGCTAAGCAGTCTCCAAAGTGTGCGTTCCAGTGTCTGCACTCATCAGCAGTTGCAGAGTTCCAGTGCCCCGCATCTTCATTCATACTAGCGATTGCCAGTCATTTTAGTCATTCTGATAGGTACGCAGTGTGTCTTATTAGAGTTTTAATTTGCAATTCTGTGACTAATAAAGTTGGCCATCTTTCCATATTTATTGGCCCCAGGAATATTCACTTTTGTGAAGGGTCTGCTCCATTTTATTTTTTTTTGCGTATGTATTTTTTAGGGTGGTCTACATCTTAAAATTTGTTTTTAGAGTTTTTGGTATATTCCAGATAAAAAATCCTTTGTCAGATATATGTAATGGTGCCTTCCGATGAAGGTTGGTTTTCTTGTCTGTCTTCACCCTGTGATTGATCAAGGAGAGTGGGGGCTCTCTGTGTTCACCAACGCAGTCCTGGAATCTAGCACCATGCCGAGCCTCACAGCAGGAACTTCATATTTCAATCCCATCAGCAGGAACTTCTGGGATACATTTAACATTGAATATTTTCTCGTTCATTTCTTTTTTTAGACTAAGTCTCACTCTATCACCCAGGCTGGAGTGTAGAGGCACGATCTCAGCTTACTGCAACCTCCGCCTCTTGAGTGTGCTAATCTACCTTGTGTTAGCCTGACAGACTCCATCTTGCTGAGAGCCAGACTCCATCTTAACCTCTGCCTCACCCCTCCCACCATTTCTCCCTTGAGTGCATGCCTGGGTCATGCTGCTGTGCTGGGTCATGCTGTGCTTAGAACTATAGAGGCACAAAACCATTGCAACCATATCCTGCTTGGCAAGCCCACTTGCTATTGTGAATACCCTCCTTGACCGATTGTATGACAAGTACTGAATACCCCCCTTAGTAATCAACAATCATGGGAACCCTCTGCCTCCTAGTTACCAGCCTCCTTATCTAACTTGCTTGTTCTGCTTCTGTAAATCCCGCTTCAGCTAGACTCCTCCTCCTCTACTTAAGCAAGGTATAAAAAAGAATCAGCCTTCTTCCTTGGGGCCAAGAGATTTTGGGCGTGAGCTGACTCGATTGCTGGCAAATAGAGGACTCTCCATTGGAACTCAGAGTGTGGTGCTTTCCTTCTGACTCGCTCGGTTATAACAGTGAGTTCAAGGGATTCTCCTGCCTCCTGGGTAGCTGGCACCACAGGCATGCACCACCACACCCAGCTAATTTTTGTGTTTTTAGTAGAGGTGGGGTTTCACCATACTGGCCAGGCTGGTCTCGAACTCCTGACCTCAGGTGATCCACTTGGCTCAGCCTCCCAGTGTTGGGATTGCAGGTGTGAGCTACCGTGCCTGGCCTTCGTTCCCTCATTTCTTAGCTTGTTTGCTCTCACCCCCTGCCCCTCTTTCTGTGCTCTGCCATGTCCTATAGCAAGGCCATACAGAATCAGATCCCCCATCACACTCCTGACACTCTGTTGCCAGCTGCCTGCCTGTTGGGGTCTGCCAGTGGAAGGCAGGGGCGGAAGATGGAAGGTGGGAAGGGAGATGTGACTCTGCTTCAGACTTCTGATGATTTCTTGGGTGGTGGCAGCAGCACTGGCTAGAGCAACAACAGTGACAAAAAGTCAGGTGGTGGTGGCTGCAGGGACAGAGACAGAAGGCTAGAAGTGTAGGCTCCTGAATCCTCCTTAAGTGGCTGGACTGTGACACCAGGAGCCTTAGTGGACAGTGTTCTGGCCTCTGAGTGATTTCTGCTCCTCAGTCCAGGGTGTTACCGATTTCCTAGTTACAGTGACTCATATTTTTTTTTGAGACTTTACTCTGTTGTCCAGGCTGAAGTGCAGTGGTATGTTCTCAGCTCACTGCAACCACCATCCACCTCCCAGGTGCAAGCGATTCTCCTGCCTCAGCCTTCCTAAGTAGCTGGGATTACAGGTGCCTGTCACCACATCCTGCTAATTTTATTTTTAGTACAGATAGGTTTCGCCATGTTGGCCAGCCTGGTCTGGAACTCCCAATCTCAAATGATCTGCTGGCCTTGGCCTCCTAAAGTGCTGGGATTATAGGGATGAGCCAACTCACCCAGCCAAGTTTTTTGTTTGTTTTGTTTTGTTTTTTTTGAGACAGGGTCTTTCCGTTGCCCAGGCTGGAGTGCAGTGGTACAATTTTAGCTCATTGCAGCCTTGAACTCCTGGGCTCAAGCAATCCTCCCACCTCAGCCACTTGAGTAGCTGGGACTGAATAATTATTTATTTTTTGTAGAGATGGGGTCTCACTGTGTTGTGATCCAGGCTGGCTTGAATTCCTGTGCTCAAGCCATCCCCCTTGCCTCGGTCTGCCAAAGCACTGGGATTACAAGTGTGAGCCCCTACGTCTGGCCTAAAGTGATTTTTTTTTTTTTTTTGAGATGGAGTCTCATTCTGTCCCCAGACTGGAGTGCCATGGTGCAATCTCGGCTCACTGCAACCTTTGCCTCCTGTGTTCAAGTGATTCTCCTGCTTCAACCTCCCGAGTAGCTGGGATTACAGGCACCCACACCATGCTTGGCTAATTTTTGTATTTTTAGTAGAGACAGGGTTTCACCATCTTGGCCAGGCTGGTTTCAAACTCCTGACCTCGTGATCTACCTGCCTTGGCCTCCCAAAATGCTGGAATTACACGCATGAGCCACTGCGCCTGGCCTAAAGCGACTGATTTTTGAGT